TTCTCCGTTAACCCTAACAAAATCCGGTTGAATAATTTTATTATACTCACACGGGCACCTGTTGGGGCCGCCCCCAGCAAAAACTGTATTACGGCCACTCATAATCAACAGTAATCATTGACTACAATAACTGTCAAAACGGCACTAAATATTGTTTGTTAAATGCCATAAGTTTTGTACTTTTTTTTCAACGGTCCACACCTTGGGAGCGATGGGACTCGACCAGAGCTGTTATATGCAGTTACAGTACCAGGCAATAAATGTTGCACATCGTTTTTTTTTTTAAAGAGGTAAGTTTGTGTGATGTTATGATTTATACAAAAAAAAATATATTTTTCTAATATTTTTTTATGTTTAACCAGTTGAGCTCATTATTATGAGCAGTATAAGTCAAAATTTATATTTAATAGACAGTATAAGGCACCTTTGAACGTCGAAAAAAAACATAAATATAAAACCTAAACAGTGGCTGTCTTTGTCTTTTGGTGAAATTATTTGCTCGTCCCAAAGTGTCGCCTATTCCTAAATGTAGGAACGTGGCGACGTGAACGTATACGCGAAGACTTGTCGCGGACAACCTAACGGGTTACCGGGGCTCCGGCTCGAAGCGCAGTAGAAGGAACGGGGTGGTTTTTAGTCAGTAAGCGTCTGACACTCCCTCCCGCCTCACCCAGGCGGGAGCAGTCATTCGATGATTTTCCCCCATTAAAAAAAAAAATACGCGGTGACTTGGACCATTGTTGTCTCTATCCAAAGATCGATGTGGAATCTTTATTGCCGGGTACTGTTCATGCCTCACAAAGGAGTGAATTTATCAAGACGTGCCAGGTGGTAATGGTTAAATATAACTCGAGTGTACTTGTTTCCTTTTGAATATTCAAATATTAGATGCTTTATAAGTTGTAATTGTTTACACTATAATGATGGCCTATCTTATCCTGCATAAATTGTTGAGTGTGTATTTTCCAAGTCTATATCAAATGTAATAGATGCTTTGTTAATCGTTCTTGATCAGCACCTACCTATATTTTGTATTTGTAGATGATTGCCATTTTATATTGGTAGAAAGGTACTCGATAATTATGATATATTAATAATCTTTAATTATCTTAATACAAACTGTTTGGAAGTTATGTAGCTTGACTGAAGTAGTCCAGTAATGTTCAGAAATTCATCATAAACTACTACGGTTTCACATTCAAAACAAATTCGATTGAAAAACGAAATCAGTACTTCCTAATATGTAATTCTTATAAATGATACATTTATATTTACGTAAAATGTTCGTTAGCATATATTAAGCGAAACTGCAACGGAAAATAATTGTTACGGAAAGGTCATGATAAAGTTTCAATCAGTAGAAAACATAGCCTACCTGGTTTAGACACGCACATACTATAATGCATGGGCATCACGTCCGCCGACACACCGGTGGGTAATTGTCGAGGCATTAAAAACCGATAAAAACCATTAATACGACCGGCGATCGGTCAAATTGCGGATACCGATAATTTACGTAGGAGACGCCCCTCGCGCCGTCCGCGCCCGCGCAACCACCACAAGATGCATTCCAAGTGATAATTAAATGAACTACAAGTACGATCCCACTTCATAACATAAGATTGCATTGTAATTAGGTACTTACAACGTCTGTTAAATATACTACGGAGAGAATCAATAAGCACGATTCATATTAATACAGCATGATGTCATTAATAAAGAATTTATAAAACAAAAATAATTTTCCAAACAATATACTCACAAATAAGTAAAAGCGAGTGAGGCAAGCAATAAAGAAATCATAATTATGGATTTATTGGTAAGCGAAAGGTTGTCTGCACATTTTAAATTTCGCGGTAGAGTGGCCAGGCGTCGTTTCAACACAGTTTTATTGTATGGATTCGCCGATGACGAACGATGTGAAGCAAACCGCAAACCGATTTTGCAATAACGTTTTAACGATAAGCGTCTGACATATAAAGAGCATGTTACGACAGAAGATTCAAATATTTTGGACAAGTCATTTTCAAGAAAAGTCCAAGGAACATAAATCGTTCACCAGTTAGCCCTCTCTAACAAAGTCCACTCGGCAATAAAGTGGCCGCTTGTAAATCAAAACGACGAATCGAAAAAATAAAAGTAAATAAATTGAGACGAAGCCGACATTTCTCGTGAGCCACGCAACACTAGTGATGCGCTACTTAGTTGTATAAGGGCACTGTCGATAAAATATCCTGTGCGTGTACCGCAATAAAAACATCACTCAAGCGAAACTTCCGTAATTCGATAAGAGCTTTTTTAAAGACAAGACTTGCACGTATCTGATATAGTTGATTATCCTGATTAATATACAAAATAATGTAGAGCCTCAATCTGAAAATCGAATACCATTATGCGTTTCGATTCAAAATGTTTATAAGCTTATAAAACTCATAGTAGAATTAGGAAATTTTCGATAATAAAGTACGATATTCGGTGGTCCGGGGCAGACGGTATCGACGTGGAAAGGAATGGATTGTGCATCGCAATAAAAAAAGATAAAGCGTATTACGGGATGTCCGGAGATAAGAGCCACTTTATGTTTTCATATTAAGTTTGACATAAAAATGAACGCAGTAACACATTTTACTGCCATTGGGTGCCTTTGTTAGTTTAACACGAGTCTCGACGAGGAATTCTTACTAACTGTTCTACATAACACTAACAGAATCAATATACAGTCCGTCCGATTTGAAACAACGTTTAATAGTAATAAATAGTTTCTAGGAATTGAGATACTAGTTTTGTAATAAAACTGTTTAATTTCAATTCTTGGCCATGCTATAAGTTAGTAATCAATTACTATTCGCTTACTGGTTTTGTTAAGGTTTTAATACAGCTATAATTTGATTTTCTTCCAGAGTCGTTATAATAAAAAGTTATCTGAGTGTGTCTCGAAATTAATAGACAATGCATTGTAAAGCAATTTGAAAACACGCTCCGCCACCCTCCCCCTTGTAAAATTTGTCCCCGATATCCCGTTTTGATTGGACGGCTTGATTTATATCTTGTTTAGGCGTACACTAAAGATTACCCATTGTTGATCCTTTTTTATTTTAAGACAACTTTATGGGCTATAAACAAAATTTTGTAATTATGAAGGAAATGTGATCGTTTCGTTTAATATTCGACTTTTGGGTCCTTTTGTTAATGATGTATGAACGTTTAATCTCTTTAATATGTAGGTAGGTATAAAAATTAAGGACATCTCATGCGTTTATCTTTACACGAACACGTATAACGTTGTAATTTTTATAATTAGCTTGCTGTTTCAAATATCAATACTAGTCAGTCCTTTATCAGGGTAGTGTACGCAATGAGAATAGTAACAAAGGGATCCCTTCCCCGGAGATTGAAACGCTCTCCGGGCTACCGCCGGCTACAGTGATTTAGACTAACTGCACTTGTTGCGATACGGGGGCACTCCCCATTGCAGATAACATATGACAGGCGGCTAATACGAGGATTATACTCATTCCACACACTTGTTCCGGCAAGTTATTTTACCGTAACTGCGCCAGAACGGCAAGTTACAAGCCTGCATCAGCTAATGACGCGAAACTACAGTCATTCCGCTAACTCACTAGGTAGATCATATTTTGCCGTGACACTTATGTTCGAACCTGTTCACAGCTCCTACCATGGAAATGAGATATTTTATCGCAAACTATAACTTCGCCTCGCAGGTAATAAATACAGCCATTATTGAATAAAAATATGCTCATAAACTAAATTCCTGGAGGCGAATAAAATTTTCAAAACAGTCTTATAGAACTTGTTATTTGTCAAGCGAGGAAGAAACGTTTTGTGTTGGTATATTATTTGACGTGTCAATATTGCGCGCGCGCCTCTGGAGGGTTGTATGTCAGGGCGCGACAGTTCCTGGGGCCGGCAGGCACCGTACACAATGCCAATTTTCCGCTCACCGCCACCGACTACGCAATTATTTAGATAAACCTCTCGGCGTGACTATAAAAACATCTTCCCCTCCCCACGCAACGCTGTTTGTTGTCTTTGGGGCTTTGTGAATTTATAGCCCAGCATTACGCCGACGGTTAGGAAAAAATGTACTTTTAATTTATCTCGTTAAAGGGTTGAAGGACGGCCGGGTTCGCGAAGTAATTATTCCGGAATTGGCCACTTTAGCTGATGAATCCATTCCGTTGTACCCTTTATTGGGGGGCGATTGTGGAGTGAATTAATTTGTTTTTGACTCCGATCTCAACGGAGTGAAAGATTACATTATGCTGATGAGCGAAACATTTATTTCGCTAATTGTTTTCCAGAGCTACCAAGCTTTTAATAATGAAAGTAGTTAGAATATCGAGGAATACTCAAGAGGAGGGATCAGCCTCATTGTTTTATATTATTATCAAAATATAGCGACGTTTGTTAGTACAATTCACTTTTTAAAACATTTTCTCCAAACCAAAATTGAAAACTTCAATAAAAAAGCGAGCTAAATAAAGAATAAAATTCAAATGGAATACAAATTATCCCTAAACTTGACTCCGAACAACAATGAACGTCATTGTTTCCAAAAGTTAACAGAGATTAAAACATTGAGAAATAATGGCCAACTCCATTTTGAAGAAGAGAGTAAATTGTCAAGTCCAATTTATAAATCCAAACTTTTTGATACCCAAAAATTAACTCCTTTTAACTCGTCGAGTACCGTCATTATAGACACAATTATAGAACAATAGGTTGCGGTTACCGGTGACCGCTTGGTGTTTGACAGTATGTAAGAACGACTTTAACAATCGTAATGTTGTTTTTTAGTCGAAAAAAATATTGTCTTTAATTTACACACCAAGAAGGGTATTGGACAGATTTTTCAAATTTCAGGTTCATCAATTATAACGCAAAAAGTACAATAGAAGAGTCTCAAGTCTCATCGATATACTAAAAAAGAAAGTAGTAGTAAAGTGTCTCATCGTAAGATTAGGTCTATTGCTTACCTGCCACTCTTAGTTATGATCATCTCGGTGCCAAGGTCATGGAACTTGTCCCATAATTCCTTAGTTTCCAGCTGACAGTCTACGGAGAGTAACTCCTCGCAGTTGCAGGAGGTAGCTGGAGGAAGCGGCCTCGCTGGTGAAGGCGTGTCCCTCTCACCTAGTTCTGGTCATCAAAGAGTTCAATTAGAATTCATTTCTGGTATTATTGCAGTCTCGTAAATAGGAGTTGCCTTTAATAGTAGTGGTATTTAAAAGAAATTATGAAATGTAAGTTTAACATCATCATCATAAACAGCCTAGAAGTGGCCGCTACTGACCGAAAGGCCTCTTCTGGCATGGAGAAGGTTTGAACATTTATCACCACGCTTGTCCAATGTGGGTTGGCAATTTAGTCGTACGGTTACAGTTTAAATTTTAGACATAAACAACGATTTTTAAGTTAAGTCATAAGAAAAACTACTAATCTGACTGGTTTACAGTACATACATATGTATGTCTTAGTTCAGTATAAAGAAAAAAAATATACTGTACTTTTACAACTTTTAAACGGTAGAATATACGAATACACGATATTTTCCACAACATGATCATTATGACACACAAGTAGGTCCTAACAGTTTATGTAGGTACAACAACACCTCATGTATATTCAAGTTATAATGATACAATTCCAGTAGACATCGTAAATTGAGTAGTAACAACTGACAACGACTTCTATTCCTGAAGTACAAGCTTAACACGGTTGTTATACATGTTGTTTGGGTTGCGAAAAAAAAAGAAACCATGTGACCTTAACATAAGAAGTCATTTCTATGGATATGACTAAATTACATACTGTATAGTTGGTATTTAAACTGCGTACAGACGGTATGAACTCCACGGATAAGTTAAGAAATAAAAGAAATGTCTTAATTAACCTCTGTTTTTAAAGATCATAATGAAATAAAATTATAACCCAAAATATCCCTGAATTTAGCACTAAACAACAATAAGATTTGATGAAAACCGTGATTTCTTGACAAGATAGTTTTTAATTTAGCCGAGTAACTTTACAACACCGAATTAATTGACAGTGCTACTTACTCAAACTGTAGCATAATAAACCACAATTAGATACAATAAAATCATTAACTACTTATTTAAAGGCAGCTTGTTACTAGGTGCGGTGACTACATTATAGTTTTCTACACGCATTAAATCAAAGCAGCTAGTGTGAGAACCGAATTGTGTTGCTTTGAGAAAGTTTGTTTATAATGTTAATAACACTGGTCTTATAACAACTTCAATTACTTTTTGTTGTAAAATAATGGCGCTCGCCGCAAGATGCAGCAGTAAATTGCCTGAGATTTCACGTAAATAAGTGTCAGAATGGTTTAGGTCTTTAGTACAAGAAATTATATTTTATTTTAGGTGGTAAAGGTGGTGAAACGGCGGTTTCTTGTGTATGAGAATATAGACTTTATGATAACCTCCGTGTTTTATTGTTAAGACTAGATCACGTCTTACTAGAGTACGTATATGAAACCTTCTTAGTGGATACATTAATGTTTTAATTACGCTAATGCTAGTGGAAATGAACGGTGTGATTGATGAATTAAATGTTTTCTTACTCTTTGACGCAATAACTACCTACTGATGAGGCACATTAAGCTATCACTAATTTATGTGAAGAAACGCATATAACTTACCGTCAGTACTAAAGGCTAGTACATATTGGGCGTTCGGCTTTGCGATCAGCGCAAGATTAGAGTTATTTCGTTAACACAATCCTTAGCAGTTGTTTTAGGAACGAAATTTTACTTAGAAATAGTTTAAGTAAATCTAGGTGGACCGGCAACAGCGCCAGAGTTGCGGGGAGTCAGTAGACGCAGGTGGCGAGTTGTCGTTCGACTTGAAGGACTAAGGAGATCTTTGTCCAGCAATGGACATCTTTCGGCTGTTGATGATGATGATATAGCAGGTAGACAGATAAATGATAACTTAATTTCTTACCGGAGGATGGCGCAGGTGAAGGCACGGCGTGGTCGGAGGCGTCTCGCTCTCCATCAGAACACTGTTCCACGTCCACCTCCACATCTTCGTCCGGCAGGGGGGACCGGCAGCTCGACGCTGGAGAGCTGAGCGATGCCGGTGAACTTTGTCTGGATACCGAACCTGCATAACAAGAATTTTGGTCACAAACTAGAGGAAAGTAAAGGAAAGATTCATACCTACATGAATATGTGGCGCCTGAATACCTGCAGCTACTGGGTATACCGCCTCAGACAGGCGTGAAATTCGCATACTAAGTTGTTAGATTAAAAACCTGTCTAAAGGGTACCTTGTACAACCTTGCTGGCTAAGCCAGTTAAGGCACTGTACATAATGTAAAGAAAGAAAGAAAATCTTTATTTCACACGCTAACACACACAAATTTTACACATACAGTTTAAAACACCTACTAATGTCCCAAGTCTGCAGTGAAATGGGACCAGTTCAGCATATGCACGACAGGGGTTTGCTTGGTATTGTACTGGCCCCTTAAGTGACTCGCGGACGAACAACTTATATAGGTACCTTAAGTATACAATGTTAAAATTAGTGGTACTTTCTTACTTTCCTAGTTACTTTCTTATGTTACTTTCCTACTATAGGCATCTAACTGTAAAAAGTCTACATCGCTTATTAACAAAATATTATATTTTGTAATTTGCTCATTTTACTATACCATCAATAATTAAATGATAATTCGAAAAAATACAAATGTAACTTGATCTAAATAATGTTTCAAACTCCATTGATGGTCAATGACTTTAGCATTTACGTTTATAGATACAGGAGTAGGAACCAGTACACTTGATTCTTTGCATACTTATATATTCGTACAGCTCTATCAGATAACTACATTTAGATTAAACCTTGGGGATATTTATGATTTAATGTGGCATGTGTAGTGTAACAACAATTTAATCAAAATTACTAGAATTTTCGACAACATACTACATGAAACCTGGACAAAGCATCAAAGCCGCGAACCTTGTTAATTAACAGCGGTATTAAACCTAATGAAACGAGGTGTTGCCAGGTACTACTAAGTATTGGCTTTACTGATACAAAATGGCGACAACTACTATTTAGGTAGATATCTAAATAAAGTTAGTTAACTAGGTATATAATTAAACTGTCAAACACCAAGCGGTCACCGGTGACCGCAACCTATTGTTCTATAATTGTGTCTATAATGACGGTGCTCGACGAGTTAAAATGATTTAGACGAGTACCTTCCTAAGTAATCTACAATCCTAGCTATCATTTTTCGAAATTATTTCAACTAGTTCTAATCCGAAATAACTTATATTATATACTATAACTTTCGTGAGGCATACTAAATTAATTATTATGTTCTCGCGTCCAGAGGGGGAAATCACGGCAGAGGTCGCGTTTGACCCGCACCGCCGCAGAGCCGAGCAGCCAGTAGCGGCGCGACAGCCGCCGCGTCGCGGGTCGCGGAATACTGCTCATGAATATGATCCTCTAGCATGGCTTGAAACTAGTCAAGTTCCTCTTCAAACAGTTTCGTAAGTAACCCGAGAACATAATTATTAACTTGTATTATAAATGCGAAAGCAAGTTCATTAGCTCTTGATGCTCTTGTTTATTGGAAACACAGAGCCTTCTCTGCACTACCAACTATTCGCAGTAGTTTTTCGGCTGTAATCATCTCATCTTTCAACATCAAACCTTGATGCTATCTAATTTCTATAAAACCTAAAACATTATACATAACAAAATTTTCATTTCGGTCCACTTATTTCGGAACACATTCAATGCAAACGAACAACTTAATACCTATTTTCTCTTTATAATGCTTCAACAACATCATCATCATCTTATGATGATGTTGTTGAAGTTACAGGCTGTTGATACAGCCTGTATGTGCCCACTGCTGAGCAAAGGCTCTTCTCAGACGGAGAAGGTTTGATCATTAATCACCTCGCTTGCTCAATGGAGGTTGGCGATTTCAAACTAATAATTAGAAATTATAAGCCTAGGTTCCTCACGATGTTTTCCTTCACCGTTACTCAGTGGTGTCTAAATCATCTTAGAAAGTACATATAACTCGGAAAAAATCACATTGGTACTTGCCGTTGGTAGGTTTCGGACTTGCACCTTCATGCATGAGAAGCGGGCGTCTTAAACCTCCGGGCCACCACCATTGAATCATAAATCTAAATAAACATGTATGAAAGATTTGAGATTTTCTCTTTTTTTTCTATTCCGTGATATTTCTATAGCCCTTTTATAACGTGACGTAGATAATAATTAATTTATAGTCTCTAACTGTATAAAAGTCGTATTTAATTAACAACCTTCCTTTAAATGATACCATTTGATACAATAGATAAAAGATAAAATGCAGATAATAATTATTACTTCTAATATCTTACAATTAGTAACCGCAACGAGCCGTATGGTTTGTTCCATGGTGTTTCCTTGATTGAGCTATAAACCGAGATCAGTGTAGCATGTCATTTTATACCCATTCCACTCTAACTGCAGTTATAATTAATTGTCGGAATTTTAATCTTTCCACTTAAACATTTATTAAGCTGGGTGTACACTCACGGTGTTGTACTCTAAGATGGGTAAAAATCAACGTGTCTGCCGCCAACTATACAATTCCAAAACTCACATCGATCGAGCTTCTACCTTTACTATGAAAAATAAAATAATTGCATTTTATTTCCTTAGACTACTGTTAGACGACAAAAATCAACTAAATGAACGTCACTAGTTTATTCTATGTTATCGACAGCACTAGAAGTTGTGTTGACGATATCATCTGTCAAATGTGACAGATTAGTAAAGTTTCCCGCGCAAAGAGTTGTAACGGGTTATTCTGGTGGGACGTTTGACGAGCATCACGCTGATTTCTTTGAAAATCCGTTTAGAATAAACTTTTTCGTATTGAAGTATTGAGTTTTACTGAAAACTACTTGAATATAGCCCAATTTTCGTTTGACAAATACTCGACAAATAGGTCGCGAGACACTGTATAAATATAATAATCGATTTCGATCGAAGTCATTATTACGTAGTACATTTATCTAACTAGATACTTAATTCAGTTAAGTAAAACTATGTATTTTTTTTTTCATTTATTTGCAAAATTAATTTCATTTATTTTCATTTATTTGTATTTTGTGTACCCAGGTTTAGATAAAGCAAAATTATAGTCTACAAGCCGATTATCTGATTAATCATCAACCTTTAGGTACGGATGTATTAAATAAAAGATCGAATTATCATGTCAATTAGCTTGTAAATTATAGAAACGCTACTATTTATTGTTGAACTAGAATTCCTCCTGAGGTTTTGTCTGTTTAAAAAAACGTTATTTTCAATTGTTTCCGATTCTGTGAGAATATTGAGAATTTTCTCTTTTGTATGTTACGTTAGTCCTTGAATATTATTTTCTTTCAAATCTGTCGAGTAGTTTCTAAGCATGTTCAAAGGAAACATACAAACAATTAAATCTTTTCTCTGTATAATATTAATAACAGTACCTACCTTAAATAAAGGTACGTACATAAATTTTTTTGAAATACTTAAGTAATTGCTAAATTTTAAATATGAATGATGAGTGACGTACAGCCAGATCAATTTGCAAAAATAAAAATAATAAAGATGATGTATTTGTAGTAAGTTGCGTGTCGATATACTTCGGCCAGTGTCGGCCGCGTTCGGTTCCACACAATTAATCTGAAATAACGAACTGACCCGTAACACGACTCCTGCGCATGTGCGCTTGCTCCCACCGCACCAATTAGCATTAAACCCTTTTTAAATACGTCTCGAACTTTATAGCTGGGTTTTAGTAATGTTGAATTGTTCTAGATTTGTGTTTTGAATTGCCTATAACTTGTAATTGTACCTACATCTAATTTCATGAAAAATAATGATGAAACAAATTGTATCACTGCTTAACGTGGAAAATATAACATATAAGTAATGATAATAATCTGTCTGATAAATTTTTCTTCGTGCCAGGTACGGTGTAGGTAAGTCACTTTTGATATTGAATTATTATATTTGGTAACTATTTAGCTGTAGATTTTCAGTTATTTAAAAAAACCAATACTCTTACAATCGTACAAACGTAGGTACTTTTTTTAGGGACAAGCCCACCACAACGTCCCAGAACACACAATCCCAGGATCTACAGTAGATGCAACCATGAAAACACCAGAACTCTGAAGTCCGGCGCGTCCCAGGGACATGAATAACTGTCTTGGTTCCCGCAACAAAGTGAATCAGAAGACACTATAAGAGGAGAAGAAAAAACGATAGTTTCCAGTTCCTTCGGTGAATTACTGCAACTACTGGATGAACGTAGGTACTAACAATAGTCTTCAGAGGACCCGGTGCCTCTTATAGGCGCTGAGCGAGGTACGAATCCCACACTTCCTAGTCTTTCTCCCAAAAAAGATAGGCGCTATTTAAAGATTTCCCCCCGTCATCAAAAAAAGGTCTATAGGTACAATAGCGGAATGAAATATTTCTTTAGTAATTGTATTTAAGATTAATAAAATATGTAGGTAGGTTACTTACCTATGACTATGAGTAATTTATGATACTTATTTAATAACTCATAAACGATACAATAGCTATTAGAGATAGATTACTGGTATGAGAAAGCCATACTTCCTTCTTAGATTGTTCAGGAAACATAAAATTGGTATTGGTTATTCATCGTAAGGGACGTTTGTACCCTTCTTCGTCTTGTCAGAAGACCTAGTGTCCTTTATAGGTGTTAATAGTGACCTCTAGTGGTTTTGACAAGGTTGAATCCCAAACTATCAAATGTCTCTCCTGAAAAGCTATACCTTTTAAAGTTTTTCTCCCGAAAACAATATACCTAACGGAACGTTTTATTTAGTACTTGTAGTAGGACTTGTACGTAGAACAATAATTTATTTATTTATTTAACTCGTCGAGTACCGGTTTTGTAGACACAATTATAGAACAATAGGTTGCGGTCACCGGTGACCGCTTGGTGTTTGACACTTTAAATAGGTATACCAACAGATTCTATATACAAAGTATTAAGAGTCAACAAAGGTAATATAACAATGTGAAAAAAGTTTATCTTGCAATAACAATAACAATTTGCAAAGGTGTCGATCAATAAATTGAGATCGTTTCAATGTTTCAACTAGATTTTTGTATTCGAAACGTCAGTACCTAACCACTAAGTATTTTCCATGATATCTGTATTGTAACATCATATTGTTTGCGTCAACTAAAATATAAAACCAACTATAAAATGAAATCAATTAAGTAGGTACTACTTAAAAGTGTGATTAATTATCTTATGACGGATATGCAAGTCAAATCAATTATTTATTGAAAAATCCTTTCTTATCTTATAGGTAAGTGATATGAAAACTTGAAGAAATGGTATTTATCTATTTAAATGTTAACAATCTGCCTATTCTAGACACTATCTACTACTAACTTTTTTTAATTTGTTGAAGTGTCAAAGTAATGCGAAAATCAAGAAAATCTAGCTAAACGATCCCTACCCAGTACCGATAACAAATGGTAAAACAATACTTCTGAAGTCAGTAAGCTACTGCAACTGCAGTTATTAATTAGGTATTTAATTAATTATTTATAAAGAAATAAATTTTACTGTAATTAGGTGCGCCTACGGCGATGATTTGTGCGTTTTTTAAACTGATTAATTGGCGATTATACCTACATTAATCTCTATACTTGTATTTATTTGGAAAAAAATATCTGTTAACTACCGAGCTGAAATATTCGTCATGCGTAGCTTTAATAATGTCAGGCAACCAACCTCAGTCCACAAACTTTTTGTCAATCTGGATTTTGAACCTAAATCAATAGAACTAATGACATTACTCTAGGTCATCAAAACTAGTACTTATTTGGATAGAAATTGTTTATTAATTTCAGCTGTCAAAGCTATACCCATTAACCGGTTTAGTCTTGAATCGGTTACGGGGAAAATCCGTAGAAGTTATCACAATACTTTCAGATGTAGAAAAAGAATTGTCTACACTCAAAAGTGTAGATAAATAGAAATAGAAAAATCAATTACCAACGTGCTTTTTTACCTAAATTAATTATCTATTGATCTTATTTATTTAAAACATTTGGTGAAAAGCAAAACGTATTCATTAACCTAATTTAATTAACTGCATTGTTATCTGAGATATTGTGAACAAGGTCTTCTTTCTCTGCTTGTATTTGTTCACAAATTATACGGAGCAATTTTTTTAGGTAGGTTATTGGAACCACAAAAATTTGACACAGGTGGTTTATACCTATTTAGCGCTAACAATTTTTAAAAGCTTTTATTATCAAGCTGGTTAAGTAAGATAGATAAATGTTTAATTAGGCCTATATTACCGGTGTGTGGCGGTGTTTGCGCGACGGGGCTGCGCGGCTCGGCGCCGCTGCGGGCCATGATCGCCGCGATCGAGAAGTCAGTCGCCCTCGTCTTTCCTTCCTCGGCCACCATCCTCTCTCCTCCGGCCCTCCAACACTCCGCGTTTTCCACATCCATGAAACAACTCTCAGTACCTCAGTCCAACACTAATCTTCACCCAACATCTCACCGAAACCGGCCCCTACATGGTTTTCGTTTATGCATTTTCTTGCGAATAAAAAAAAAATGTTTACACCGAATTTATTTTCCGAGGAATAAACTTTTACGATACAATTACCATTTTTTACAGAATAAAAAAATAACGTTATCAAAAAATCACTTCGAGCCAAAACCGCGTAAAATCACAATTATAAATCAATTATGTTATAGGACGATCGTTAAACGCGTATTGAAATAGCAGAGGAAATAGTCCGTAGTGTTACACAAGCGAAAGCGGTACGGCGGCTGAGCGCGGACTGAGCGCGGCGCGGGCGCGGCGCGCGGGGCGGGCCGGGCAGGCGGGGCCTCCCCGGGCAACCACTGGCCGCGCTACCCGCTGTCACCGCTACCTCCTCCCCTCCCCGCGCACCACACACCGACCACTAAGCTTTTCAATAACAATAAAAATAATAATATTAATCCTATATTTGCTCTCCACCATTATGCATGTGTCATCGTGGTTAAAATAAATTTCAGCTTTTATAGTCATCGGTTGTTTCAATAAAACAATTAATCACATCCCACATAGTTGCAACCTTCTATAGTTTATGAAACGATAATAATTTTATTTCTAAAACAGTAGACCTTGAGGTGTTTTAAAAATTCGCTGTGTATTCAAATGATTTTTCAGGAAAATTGTGGCAAGTGAAAACGTGCGCGCAGTCACCGCGTGAGTGCGCCGCCCATAAACACAGATCCGTAGATTAGAGCGAGACAGCACTACACAACAGTAGGCGTGCGCATGCGTTAGACAGAGTCGAAAGGAATTATTGCGTACAACGAACTACGTTCAAAGACGTAACTTTACTTACAAGTATTGTAAGTGAAACTTTACAAAGCGAAGTTAGGTTATTTACAAGTAACTAAGTAATGATAATTAGTTCACGTTTTGTCCGTTAAACGCGATAAATGGCATCTTTCGTGTTTACGATTTATCAATCAAAAATACTTACATTTGCGAAAAGACATTTGAAGATGAATTTAAAATTCTAAATAATGTTGAGGATTTTTAACTCGAAATGAAGTAGCTTATTTGAGTTTCGTGTTTAAACTTTTCGTACATAAGTTAAAAAAATATAAGTAATACCTACTTACCTACTTAGGTAACTTGAACAAAATATTTTATTCACATTTTGTACCAACCTACTTTTTTTTTAAATCCTACTTTTTCAAATGAAAGTGAAGTGAATGAAATAATAAACTACAAAAAATAAGTCTATCTACATTTTAAAGTGAAAAAGAAATCAAAGCAATTTTATTGACATAATTTTTGTCTACATTTTTCTAATTTGACTTTATAATTAAAATCTTCAAACAAAATTAACACTTAGTAAGTACCTACCTAAGAGAATTTGAAAGAAGCAACCGCACCTAACATTTCCAAAACCTAAGTACTGAGGCCCTAAGCACTTACCTAGGGTCAGATATTTCTTAATTAAGTAGGTACCTAAAGACTGACTTTTCAAGGATTACTTACTTTTAAACGTAGAATAAAATTGACTTAAGTGGGTATCTAATCGGTATCTGGTCAGCTGTTATCGCAAATGTTATCTTCAAAAATTAATTTTTCCTTTAAAATCGTGGTATCTCGTGACCAGAGGGCTGGTCTATTTCTTGGTTAAGGTTAAGCATTGCCATACTACTTGGCAATGCTGCCAGTCTTCTAGGTACTTTCCCTATTGACGTCGATGCGGACAAATTTTTGAAGCTCTGTGTACCTAAATAGGTAGTTGTTTAATTTTTATCTTTTAGTTATAGTGTATCTTAAGTTGTACCTACATATTTACTTAATTTTTTGTGTTGTAAATATCCCAGTTTTAACAAAAAGAAATAAAATCCATTTTTCCTTCAACAAAATTATCTGTCGTTAGGAAAAATCGGCTCTAAATCAAATTAACGATATTTTTTCCTAAATTTTGTAGGAGTGCAAAATCGATACACTACCTAGGTAGAGCTATCGTCGATTTTTTTTAACTGACTTATTTCTTGATAATAACCTAGTAGGTACCTAATAAAATCCCAATCACCCAATAGGTAATGAAAGTAGTTACGGCTATTTTTTATTGTATCCCATTGTTTTGGAAACTCAAAACAATTTCTTTTTAAGTGATGACAATATCCAATAGTTTCTCATAGGTAGGTAGGACACTAGGACCTCCTACACATGTTTACACACAGAAGATTGAATACCTAATCGATTTCCTCCCCTATTTGCTTACGAACCCTTCCGACATTACCTACCTAAGTCCCTACATAAGGAGAAATCATGTGATGGAGAGGCCCGCACAACATTAAATAATTCAGAGGTATCACTGAGGAGTGAGGATGCCTCTCTCTGTTTGTTCTGAGTGAGGAATTGGATATACAATAGCTCCTACTGTACCTATATCTCTTTGGTATGATTTTAAAAATAAACAAACGTTCTATTCTTGATCAGTAGTGAAAATGCATTTTCGTTTGTTTTTGATATCTGCTGCAATTGAGTACTTGTCAACTAGTCAAATTCAATACCTACTTTTCTATGAATTTTGTACGGGATTATGTATTGTGACGTCACATTTATTTAGAGCCAAACAGCATACTTATTTCTTTAAACAATCCTAGAAAAATACTAAAATTAAGTTAGTTATAAAATAAATTCATGAAAGTGTGAATATTTTTTAATATTTCATTGCATTGAACGGTCGAAATAATTTATTTTTCATTAAACTGTCAAACACCAAGCGGTCACCGGTGACCGCAACCTATTGTTCTATAATTGTGTCTATAATGACGGTACTCGACGACTTAAGGAAAGTACCCCATTGTAATAAACAGTAAAGTTAAAAAAGAAATCAGTTTAAAGGTCGTTCGATACCTGCTATTTTAACCTACCAAAAGCCTAAACGAAACAAACCTTACTAAAATGTACTTAGCCTCCTAGGACCGTAAACTGTTTCATCTGTCTAATTATCTTCAATGCAAATCCAACTTTACTTTGAAACAATAAAGCTGAATATCTATAAAAGAAATGTGACACAATATTGTAGATAACTATAAGTATATGGTGTCTGCACACACAGTTGGTAGTCTTAGTAGGTAAAGCCTCGCTCAAAACACTCGCATTATTTGTGAAAATATGAAAAATACGCACTTAAGAGGCAATAACTCTCGTGGTGAAGCATTAAGAAGCATTACGAGTCTCTCTGGATGTTTTTCAATTTGGTAGAATGGCGTCTGCGATGCTCATCTTTATGAGAATGTGTAGTACAAAAGTTGAATGCTTCGACAGGGCTTGAAACTTCACCGTCTCGCTCAATTGTCTCACGTAAAGAATGTGCACAATTATTGAAAATACGAACGCAAAGTGTGTATGTGAACTGTGTAGTTTGTAAACGCACCCACGATACAGAAAAAAAAACCTAGTGTGGGGCAAAGTTTAAAAAAAATAGTCAGAGATATCGATTCCTAGTTTGGACATAATGTCGATACTTATCAACATAAAAACCAAGTATGTTTAAAAAAACCGACGTCATCGCTCTCTTTCTTTAAACTGTCAAACACCAAGCGGTCACCGGTGACCGCAACCTATTGTTCTATAATTGTGTCTACAAAACCGGTACTCGACGAGTTAAGTCGGTTATTTAATATACTAAAACCTTCTCCTCGTTCCCCTTCCCCCTTCAAGTTACCATAGGTACCTACAGTTTTCTGGAAACCGCATCGAAATCCGTTCAGCTAATCGCGAGGTAATCACAAACATAGGTGAGCATATACATACATACATGCATACATGCATGCATAGGTACATAGATATACACATATAGGTCCAACTGAGTAACTCCTTTTTTTTTGAAGTCGATTAAAAACTAGACCCAGGATTTCTCTATAGACGACATATCTTCCATAAAACGTGCCAAAATATACAAACACAAAAAGATGTAGGTACTATAATGCGTCAAACGTGTCTTTGCATTGTTCTCATGTCATATCATATACGTACATTATTGGAATATGTATCAGAGACATTGTAGAACAGACTTTTTCTAAAAGAGCAACAAATGGAGTTTCTTTCTCGTTCTTCTTCATACGAATCTAAATTTTGGAATGAGCACCTAGCTGACTGACGGACAGACTGACAGACTATTATTTATTTTGTATTTGGTGACGTTTCAAAAGTATTATATCTAATTATGGTTTAGTTGAAATAAATGCTTTGACTTTGACTTTGCTTTCCTTGTTGATTTAGTTAATAGGCAAACTTGATCATGTCGTCTTAGATAAATCTGACTATTTATTCATTCATTGATTTTAAAGTAATTTAGGTAAGTAGCACTTAGGTAACTTTACCTACTTTTAGTTCACCTAGAGAGAACTGAATTTATGGTGCATTGTCAAACATCGTAACAATCGCGTTAATTATTCGTTTGTGTCGAAACAATAAAGGTCGTTAGATGATTTAGTTTTTACTGACTGTCTCAATAGTTGAATGGTCGATTCCCAAGTCGGACAAAGCATTATTCTCAGTCATGACAATGAGTGTATGGCACAACTATTATATTGAAGTTCATAGAACTCGTAACTTAGTTAATGTTTGTCTGATCTATTTAATACTCAGGTGTTTACCTAAACCGTTTAGCACACCCCTTTCGGGTTTATTTGCAGAAAAATCTATTAAAGGTATACTTACACTTTTGCTAGTTGCCGCCATGACTGGTAACCGTAGAACTAATCCTACTACAGAATGTCACAACACTATTGTGTTGCAGAGGAACTCATAATTCATTCTCAAAATCAACACCATTGACAAGTTGGCAATGAAAAAAAATAGGAAATAGTGTAAAAATAAGCTGCACGGAGCGAAACACAATGCAAGCCATTGTGTTATATTGCGTAAAACGAAACGGAGGTACAAAACCGCTCTCGGCGCCCATTTTTTTTCAATTCGAAAATCGAATGTCAAAACGTCAGTGAGCCTATGAAAGCAAGCAAATATTAGGAGCGTGTTTGGAACACACACGGGGCTGTGGCCACACAGGACGCCATATTGAAATTCGGAACATTAGAAAACGACCATAACTTACCATATTTCCCGCAAAAAGTTAACGCAATCAAATCAACGACATATCGGTCACACGTCAACCGTGAAATGAAGTGTTCAGCCGACGAGCGCTTGGGGAAATTGGTTTTGAATGCGTGTTGAAATAATGATATTCTCATTCCTTATACTTAATGTTTCATGTTTTATTGCCAACAGACC